CCCTGCATGATAATCAAGAATAGAGTATTAGAGTGAGTGGTGATTTGCGACAACTTCGAGCTCTACAGTTATAAATCTGAAATTGTTATGTTTCATTGGACAAAATCTCCTATTATGTTATCCCTTTGGAATCAGCATCTGCCATCCCGCCACATGGAATGGAACTCAAGACTTTTGGAATCGTTGTTTTAATTGTTGAATTAATAATAATTATTATTATTCGTATTACCATTATTATTACGGCATTAAGAATAATTATGAATATGAATATCATGTAAGGTGAGCAAGGTGAATTCATAATTAGGAATGGGAAGAATGTTGTGAGGAGTACAACTCATTATAAAGGTAAGGGACGAAATTAGAACAATGAATGAAAAAACATCAATGTAGACCAAACTTTTGACTAACACCGGGCTTTATATCAATTATGGAAGGCGATCCTTGCTAAGTTAGATCAGCGAATCCGGTAAGCCTACATGCCTATCACGCAGAAAACAGAAATATACCATGTCATGGAATGACCTCTCATACTTAACCATTAGAAGCTAAAGAGCGCTGACCAACTGTTTCATCCGGATATGGGACACCTCACCAGTTCATATCAGCAACTTCAACAAGGACTAAACCCAGGACCCGGTTTAGTGGCAAGCACCTGACCGCTTGTCAGAGGATATTGATAATAAGCATTTCTGAATTGACTTGTACGAACAGCAGGAAGATGTGGTAAATCTCCTTTCCTTTCAACAGAAATACAGCTATGACCAAATTATTTTATCTACTGTTAATGCTTAGCTGCTGCTGATGTCCGCACGATAATCTTATTTCGATTATGCCGACTTGGCCGTTTCATATTTAACTGTTACTAACATCCCACTACTTCCCTTAGTTGGTTCTTTGTTCAAGTTATCTTCAACAATAATATCCTTATCAATCTTAACTACTGTATCTTGTGTATTACCCATTGATTGTGACTTCCGGTTGTTTCAACAAAATTAATCGCAAGCCACCTAGACTGATATCTCATATAACCTAACGCTTAGTCCACAAGGATAATAAGCACCCTGGGATATTTTACGGGATCGCAAGCAAGTAATTCCAGAAGGATCACCATTGGTATCATAGCTACGGTCTAACTAACACATCACATATTACACCTAAGGAAGAATGCCAATCCAATTATGCGAAAGATCACATAACTCTGGACCAATACTTGAGTCTAGCTGCACTCAAATCGAGTATTTGATGTGAAACATACCAACCTCAGATGCAACCACTTACAAACTAACTAAATAGCCCCCAGTTGACATCAACCAGGGGTACACTGTGAACCTTAACACGACTCTAATTACACTCAGTCTTACTGTCTCACCATATTCCACACAATCAATATCCACGAAAATCCTTGGCTCATCTCTTGTTACCTGGACAGACCTACGCCGCTTGCATACCCCGAGGCAATGACCACGCCGAGCAACTATTGAGAAGCTGAGGTCATCGGAAAGAGATGATCACTGAGAACCTCGGTAGCAAGACTTGGTCGCCAGGCGTCCTACACAACGGAAGCGGCTCGACGGTAACCTGTACCTAACCGGCAAACCACACTAAGTTGCATTTCCACACTCGACAATCACCTACGGAGAAACCTTGTCAACCAATTTATGCTGGCCACGAACCCGTGAAACAACAATGTAACACTGGGTGTTCGCAACTAAACTGGAGGTTGGGGTGGGTTGTAACTAACAAGCATCACCCTCTGTGCAGACAAGCACATCTACATCCTATCGACTCGGCAGAGCGAACGGGTCACAAGCATGTTGCGCTGAAGGGTACTCCCTGAAGGTATAGATAAATGGCCTTGGTTGGTCCATCCCACAACACAGGTTACTTGCGCTGATTACTTAAGTTAACTAAACCCAAATCTGTTCACACACTCGACCATCTCTGACAAGCATTAAGAACTTAGGAAGTTGGAAACCCTGCTCCCACAGTAATTAAGTTAGAACGAAACCAAAGTGACCAATCATATTTATCACACAAACCAAAGGTACATGATGCCTCGTCGGAAATGGACGTCCCCAGACTATGATTCAACCTAAAATGGAAACACAACACATTTAGTTCTGACAGGTATTTGCAAAATCAGACGAGGAATGTAATCGCGTATCATTCAAGAGGTGTCACATCATTTCATTTACTCACCTTAGACGATTGAGTCGACAGTTTCCAAGTCCTCATCTGAAAATAGAAAAACTTGATAAGTGAGATTGTCAGTAGAGAGGTTAAAATCACAAGATCAATTGAAACACGGAACATCATTTGGTATGTTAAAGAACTCAGCAATATCTTACCATGTCTTTTTGCACTCTTCTGATGTCTCTTGGGACGATCACAGCAGATGGCGTTCTGAAAAGTGAAAAGACGCGTTAATGGTTCAAGTAATTATCAGTGGAGTTAAATCGACTCATGTTTATCATATGAACTATGCGACATCATTAAAATTAATAAACCTTACCTAATCTCGCGAAAGTTGACCATCAACGATTTGGTGCATCCGAAGACCAAGCAATCACCTAAGGTTAATTAAAAAGATCCCAGGTTATGGAACAAGCTTCAGATAGGGGCGTGTGCGGACACGAGTCCAGTAGAAATGTCAACATCATTTTATTACATACAGAAAAGTACTTACGAGATGCATTTATCCAGCTAGTCTTTTCCTCATAATTCACTGAAGAGGAGTTATAGGATTAATATCTAGGCCGGTATTTGGTGCATTAATGTTTACTACAAGAATAATAGACCTAATCCCAAAATTGTAAATTTGTCATGATATGTCCACCTAGCGTATAGAAACTTACGCCGAAGCCACATCGTCCCTACTGACTCGTCCTTCGTGATAGTCGGCAATATGATGTTTAACAATTCAGAAGTACACATCTAGGTTGAGAAAGGAATAATACATTTAATATGAAAATAAATAAGTTACATGGAATGACAACGCCTGCATGGCCGAGTCATTTCATACTGACTCATTGTTCCCGCCTCCATCATCTCTGACCTCCTCTGGGTGTTAAATGTCGAATGTAAGTATTCACGGTTATCGTATGCTCGTCATGATGGATCGTGTGGTTGAGAACGAGTACCACTACAGCGTTATCTAGGTTGTACACGTAGTCTACAACATGTCTCAGATGGACCAATTTACATTTTGTAGTATTGAAAGTAAGTCCGTTGTTATCTGATAAACTTTAAAGTCGATCCAGGTGCTCCCCAAACGCCGGCCTATCACCTTGATTGCAAACTTCTCTTCGAAGCTTCACAACGCTAGCGACAAGCAATAAATCAGACGATACTTTCTGAGGAAGGACACTCATATAATCTAAAAGGAGAAGAGATCCCGATAGTGAACCCGGAGGAATCCCACAGTGATATTCTGTTGCCTGAGAAAAAAGGAAGCTTATCCTGACCCTAAAAGTCGATTAGTTAGATATGAAGTAAACCAATCTATCAGTGGTGAATTGATACCCAGCCGTTCAAGCTTATTGATAAGACATTCATAATTGACTCTACCGAAAGCTCTTGAGAAATCAAGATATACGACATCAACCTTCCTCTTGCTATCAAAGATAGTTTTCAATTGGTTCACTGTGGTCAACAGGTTGATTACACAAGAGTGATCCTTATTGAGACCGTGTTGCTAGGGTACAAATAAGTCTGTGGTCTCTTAGACCGTTGCATATCTGGGACTCCGTAACTTTTGAGGGTATTGAAAGAAGTGCAATCGACAGATAGCTTGAATGTTTATAGTGTAGCAGTAAACAAATCCCCAAAATCAATAGCTCTGTAAGTCTTGGACATTTGATGCAGACCGAATTAATTTCAATGCACTCACCTATCTGAAGGCACTCGGCCACGCATCCGCACCAGATCACGAGTGGGGACAGTCAAAATGTTTGAAACTACTATTCTGCCAGAATTTCGGTGGTACCACTGTCGTTGTTGGCTGAGACATCAAGACCTAACAACCAGAGAACTTTGCTTTTACCATTTAGAAGAGGAACTTCATGACGAAACAGGCCTTTCAGACTGGCGACAAATTTATGGATTAGCTTTATCTGATACCGTACTCTGTCTCCGCTTATCGCCTTTGTACATTGCTTCCTTGCTCGTTTGAACCGTCTATAAGTGTTGTCGTCACTGTTCGTTTGTAATTCACCTAACAGCACCTTTAGAGTCTTAACATTAGAAGAGTGCGATGATTTATGACTGTACGTTGCTTGTAATTTTAGAGGACTGTTTGCGGGACAAACTGGTTTGTAGCTCGTAAGATCCTTCACGGTAAGAAATCCCATTAAGCGCTCAAGCTATTGTTATTACTATCATTAAGTTGAGGATGCACTTCCCAGTCCACGTGCTGTAGACCGTTCTGTAAATCCGGCACACCTTAAAATTTGAAATTAGAATGCCTGTTGTTAGTAGAATGTCTTAGCTTAGGTTTGCTGCTAAGATTGAAGGCTATGATGGCGCGATCACTTATCAACGGAGTCAGGATGGAGAGGTTGTTAACCAGGAGTTCTCTGTTTGTAAACGATCACTCTAAGTATGAGGGCGTCTGACTATTTCTTCATTGAGTTACTCCCTCGACATTCTCAAATAATCCCAAATCTTCAATGAGGTTGAAGAACTGAGCTTCAGTAGAGCTATCACTTCCAATGTACGTACGCTCGTAGAAGTTGACTTCATGAGGCTTGAAGTGTCTTAAATGGGGAAAGGAGTGTATCCGAGATGAATAGAATGGGATAATCTCTCCAGAGTACGTTTGTCGTACTCGGTGTCAGCAATAGGCTTCCTAGACACTTCGAGGTGTTGGACAAACCCACTGAAAATGTATGTAATGCTCGAGTTTTGATCAAATAAATACTAGGCAAGACGTCATTAACCAAACCTTAGTCTTTTATGCTAACTGCTTGAAAAGGTTTGACGACTAGAATTGAACACGAAACATGGTTGTTTGTTTATATGACTTTCTCCGCCTATTTATTTTCTCACGATCTAGGGCGGCTAGTAGAGCGTGGCTGGTGTTACACGCGGCTTGTGGTAAGGCACTGGTAACCGGTGGTGTTTTGTCATGATGTTTTCCAGTTCTGCTATTGATGCTTATGAAACGAACTCTTTATCCCTGATTGTCTATCGTCACACTGTGTTTTATTTCATTGTAGGGTCTAAGAAAATGATAAACATACGGGCTACGTTTCTTCCAGTCAAATATGTAGTGGGAAGAGATCCCAGTTACTCGTAAGAATCTTCAGTGAATTATGAGGAAAAGACTAGCTGGATAAATGCATCTCGTAAGTACTTTTCTGTATGTAATAAAATGATGTTGACATTTCTACTGGACTCGTGTCCGCACACGCCCCTATCTGAAGCTTGTTCCATAACCTGGGATCTTTTTAATTAACCTTAGGTGATTGCTTGGTCTTCGGATGCACCAAATCGTTGATGGTCAACTTTCGCGAGATTAGGTAAGGTTTATTAATTTTAATGATGTCGCATAGTTCATATGATAAACATGAGTCGATTTAACTCCACTGATAATTACTTGAACCATTAACGCGTCTTTTCACTTTTCAGAACGCCATCTGCTGTGATCGTCCCGAGAGACATCAGAAGAGTGCAAAAAGACATGGTAAGATATTGCTGAGTTCTTTAACATACCAAATGATGTTCCGTGTTTCAATTGATCTTGTGATTTTAACCTCTCTACTGACAATCTCACTTATCAAGTTTTTCTATTTTTAGATGAGGACTTGGAAACTGTCGACTCAATCGTCTAAGGTGAGTAAATGAAATGATGTGACACCTCTTGAATGATACGCGATTACATTCCTCGTCTGATTTTGCAAATACCTGTCAGAACTAAATGTGTTGTGTTTCCATTTTAGGTTGAATCATAGTCTGGGGACGTCCATTTCCGACGAGGCATCATGTACCTTTGGTTTGTGTGATAAATATGATTGGTCACTTTGGTTTCGTTCTAACTTAATTACTGTGGGAGCAGGGTTTCCAACTTCCTAAGTTCTTAATGCTTGTCAGAGATGGTCGAGTGTGTGAACAGATTTGGGTTTAGTTAACTTAAGTAATCAGCGCAAGTAACCTGTGTTGTGGGATGGACCAACCAAGGCCATTTATCTATACCTTCAGGGAGTACCCTTCAGCGCAACATGCTTGTGACCCGTTCGCTCTGCCGAGTCGATAGGATGTAGATGTGCTTGTCTGCACAGAGGGTGATGCTTGTTAGTTACAACCCACCCCAACCTCCAGTTTAGTTGCGAACACCCAGTGTTACATTGTTGTTTCACGGGTTCGTGGCCAGCATAAATTGGTTGACAAGGTTTCTCCGTAGGTGATTGTCGAGTGTGGAAATGCAACTTAGTGTGGTTTGCCGGTTAGGTACAGGTTACCGTCGAGCCGCTTCCGTTGTGTAGGACGCCTGGCGACCAAGTCTTGCTACCGAGGTTCTCAGTGATCATCTCTTTCCGATGACCTCAGCTTCTCAATAGTTGCTCGGCGTGGTCATTGCCTCGGGGTATGCAAGCGGCGTAGGTCTGTCCAGGTAACAAGAGATGAGCCAAGGATTTTCGTGGATATTGATTGTGTGGAATATGGTGAGACAGTAAGACTGAGTGTAATTAGAGTCGTGTTAAGGTTCACAGTGTACCCCTGGTTGATGTCAACTGGGGGCTATTTAGTTAGTTTGTAAGTGGTTGCATCTGAGGTTGGTATGTTTCACATCAAATACTCGATTTGAGTGCAGCTAGACTCAAGTATTGGTCCAGAGTTATGTGATCTTTCGCATAATTGGATTGGCATTCTTCCTTAGGTGTAATATGTGATGTGTTAGTTAGACCGTAGCTATGATACCAATGGTGATCCTTCTGGAATTACTTGCTTGCGATCCCGTAAAATATCCCAGGGTGCTTATTATCCTTGTGGACTAAGCGTTAGGTTATATGAGATATCAGTCTAGGTGGCTTGCGATTAATTTTGTTGAAACAACCGGAAGTCACAATCAATGGGTAATACACAAGATACAGTAGTTAAGATTGATAAGGATATTATTGTTGAAGATAACTTGAACAAAGAACCAACTAAGGGAAGTAGTGGGATGTTAGTAACAGTTAAATATGAAACGGCCAAGTCGGCATAATCGAAATAAGATTATCGTGCGGACATCAGCAGCAGCTAAGCATTAACAGTAGATAAAATAATTTGGTCATAGCTGTATTTCTGTTGAAAGGAAAGGAGATTTACCACATCTTCCTGCTGTTCGTACAAGTCAATTCAGAAATGCTTATTATCAATATCCTCTGACAAGCGGTCAGGTGCTTGCCACTAAACCGGGTCCTGGGTTTAGTCCTTGTTGAAGTTGCTGATATGAACTGGTGAGGTGTCCCATATCCGGATGAAACAGTTGGTCAGCGCTCTTTAGCTTCTAATGGTTAAGTATGAGAGGTCATTCCATGACATGGTATATTTCTGTTTTCTGCGTGATAGGCATGTAGGCTTACCGGATTCGCTGATCTAACTTAGCAAGGATCGCCTTCCATAATTGATATAAAGCCCGGTGTTAGTCAAAAGTTTGGTCTACATTGATGTTTTTTCATTCATTGTTCTAATTTCGTCCCTTACCTTTATAATGAGTTGTACTCCTCACAACATTCTTCCCATTCCTAATTATGAATTCACCTTGCTCACCTTACATGATATTCATATTCATAATTATTCTTAATGCCGTAATAATAATGGTAATACGAATAATAATAATTATTATTAATTCAACAATTAAAACAACGATTCCAAAAGTCTTGAGTTCCATTCCATGTGGCGGGATGGCAGATGCTGATTCCAAAGGGATAACATAATAGGAGATTTTGTCCAATGAAACATAACAATTTCAGATTTATAACTGTAGAGCTCGAAGTTGTCGCAAATCACCACTCACTCTAATACTCTATTCTTGATTATCATGCAGGGATTTACATACCATATTTGAGTCATGAGTACCACGTACATGATTGAACTTTATTCGTGTTTGACAATCATGATCACGGTTTGGGAATCTTTGGTGAACAAACTCAATTGTTGTTGACCCCGTATAGATTTACTTGTCATTTAAATGACACTAACGTTGTGAAAACGATTACTATGCTATGTAAGCATCTTTCTACTAATGGAAACAGGTTATTGTTCGTATTATTTAAGTCTGAGTTTCCGTTTTCGCATACCAACAATCTACAGTTATCCATTTCTTATTTTTTCATTTTCTATCCACTCGTGTATAAAACACTAAAAAGCATACTGATAAGTATGTTATTGCTATTCTTATGAATCACATTGTATATCTTTTTATATGCATATTTATTCGGTCGTACATATTGTACCTTATTCGCATGTGCATGTGCATTTCAGTATGTATTTGTCCGTTCATCTTATACATATTTATTTGATATATAAGCTGAGTCAAACTTTAATAATGTTCTTTGTTAACAAAGGTCAATATCCATAATACATCTATCTAATAAGTCTGATCGTTTGTTTGCGTTTAACAATATATATGAAATATATGTATCTAGCTACATTTAGTTTTTGGTATTTTTATACCATTCTTGTACCAATCGGTTTGTCAAAATATTGCACTTAAAATTTAATGAGTATATATATATTTCAAGTGCGGTGCGATGCGCCACAAATCTCACCAGTTGGTTGACGAATAGTAAAAATACGTACATAGAAATAATACAATAAGTGTTATTAGTTTCAAGAACTGACATCTTTTCATTATTAATATTAACTGTCAAGTTAGGCTAGTTTTCATTGCCACATAGTCATGTTGAATGGAGATTTGGATAATCTATCACATTTACGCGTTGATCGCGATTTGATTAGTAGTGTAGTGGACAAGAACACTAATGGGGACAATCGAATGTACTTAACACAAAATTACAGGACTTGTTAATAAAATCTAACAATCACAAAGTAAATGCTTAATTTGCAAAATGTCAACAAACGTTGAGCATTTTGTGTTGACAACCGTTTATAAATACTTGTACCTTCTTGATGATGGTCGTGGTAGTTCTCCAAGTTCCCTCTACATACAGTAGAACTGTCTTGATGGTCGTATTAACATGCTCACTTTGATGATGGCTGACAGTTGTTTTGAGTTCCATATGTTCTTCAATTGTAGAAATGCTGTACACGCTTTGCTAATCCGTGCCTTTACGTCTGCATCAGATCCTCCATGTTCATTGATGATGCTACCCAGGTACGTGGAAGATTCCACATCATTCAGAGTTTCTCAATCAAGTGTGATTGTGTTGGTTGGTGTTCTGCGTTTTGTATTTGAGGATCATAATTTTTCTTTGCGTATGTTGGAGCCTACTGATGCAGAGGTTGCTGCTATACTGGCTGTCTTCATATGCATTTGTTGATGTGTATGGGATAAAAGTGCCAGGTCATCTGTGAACTGCAAATCGTCAAGATGCTTCCAAGCTTTTCATTGTATTCCGTGCTTCCCGTTAGATGTCGAGGTTTCCATAATCCAGTCAAACAATAGAATAAAGAAGGGGGAGAGTAGGTAGCATTGTCTGACTCCGGTCCTTACTTGGAATACATTTGCTATTAAGTTTTTTAAATCCTGGATATTATTACTCACTTTCATATTATTAATGATGCCAAATATTTGGTCTAAATAATTCTATTTTGACCAGCTGCCAACAGTGAACCTAACAAGACAGTTAACTGTAATGTAAATGCACATAGAAATAGCAGAATAGATGATATTGATCAATCATGAACGTAGTTTTCAGAACGAAGTTATTTCAAGGATAATAATGTTTCTTTAGAATCCTGTTACTTTTTTGGAGTAGATGTTAATGAATAAATGATGATGAAGATTCTGTTGATAAGAATATGAAGAGATTTCATAGAGCATGTAGATATTCAATTTTTTTAAATGTATCTTTATGCTGAATATAGAACTTAAAGATGATAGAATAGCTGAAATACACAAAAGTCATCTCTCTGTTTGAAAATTATTCAAAGGTTTTATGTCATTAAATGCTAACTGATATTTAAAAGCTGTTAACTTATTTCTGTATATGTGAATCCTAGAGTTTATCGTCTAGTCGGCTTGTATATGTTCCTACTATGAATTAGCTGAAACTTTGTTTTATACATACGATGAAGCCTGACATCTTTCTCCCTCTCTCTTTAATGTGCAGTTCATCAATGATAAACTAATGAATCAGATATTTTTCAGTAGGATGTCTTTCTTCCTAGCGTTCTTCCGGATACTTCAAAATGATTGCAGAATATTGTCATGTTTTGAATTTTTGATTGTTTGAATTGAAAGAGAATAACTAAACCATTTCATCTTTCTTTCCTTTGTTTGGTAATTAAATTTGTCAGAAGGGGTTTGTGGAGATTTTAGAAATTTCACAGATTGAAATCATGAGTCAGTTGAAGCTATACCACCATGTTGTGAGACATCAGCTCACTGAAGACAATGGTATACGGTGGCGCAACTTCGTGGATTAGTTGCAGTTAGACATTAACACCGCTGGATGCCGGCTCAGTGGTCTGACGGTTAAGTGCTCGCGCGCGAAGCCAGTAGGTCCTGGATTCAGATCCCGCGGGGTGCGGGATCGTAGGTGCGCACTGCTGAAGAGTTCCATGATAGAACGAAACGGCCGTCCAGTGCTTCCAGGTTTTCCATGGTGGTCTAGCTTCAACTGACTCATGATTTCAATCTGTGAAATTAAATTTGTCCCATTTCGTTAAAATGGTTGCAATCAATTAAATTATTCTGGGATTATTGGACATATTCTCATTCCGAGTAAAAATTACTATAATAAACGAAAAGAACTTTATTGGTTAGACACATAATGTCAAAAAT